TAATGACTAGATACTGATTAAACTGAACACTTGCCTCTCACCACACAGCATTGGTGTACAGCTATAGCTGTTCCTGCTTATCTAGTAAGAGAAGTTGATTTATTCTTTTTAAAACAGGTACAAACTCACACCTGAAGCCAGATGTTTTCACTGTTGGCTTTCACCTGTTTGTATATGGCACAGATTAAAGTGAAAAATTGGTGCTCTCCACATGGCCCTGTTGTACTATGGGCATTGATGGTGAATTCCTGCACAGTGAAAAAATGACTGTTTAGCTATTTAAAATTAATAACTATACAGGCAGGCATTAGTTCAAAACTGTGGCACAAATTGCTACATACTTTGTTTAAAAAGTTACTTAATCCTTCTACAGACTATATCAAGAGCAAAGATTTGATTCTTATTCAAGTCCAGTCCATCACACTTTCTCTGGCTTTAACACGTTACTCATATTTACTTATATTTCATTTTAGCAATTACTTTCTAAGAAATACCAATTTGAAGATATTTCTTCAGCTTCAGCAGTGAATATAGGTACTCTGTTTTGATGTGAACTGCAAGATAAAAGAGCAGGGTCCTTATTATTTGAGTAGCAAAGAAAGTGGAAGCCAGTGTCTTTGTCATGCTGTCCCCTTTCTTGAATAACCCTAATTTCTGAGACACTGGAGGACCCAAACAGGGGGCTGGTTGTTGGGCTTTTCCTTACAGCTCCTGGCTGCTTTTTGCCAGATCCCAGGCTCACAGAGCTGGGTTGCCTGTGCCCATTCAGCCACATTCTTGGCTGCTGGCTCCTTCCCATGCCTGTTTCTATGGCACTTCCTCATCCCTCTCCCACCTGCATCTCTGCTCATAACAACACTAAATGAGAACCTTTGTTTGGGCTCGGGACAGGATCGCGCTTTTTGATAGAGCTGCTCTTTTCTTTTATTTTTTTTATTTTCCCCTAACATGTGGAAAGTAAACACTACACTCCTCAGCTTTAAGCAAAGGTTAAGCTTCATCTATAATAGCATTAATACTTACAACTTTGTTGCACACAAATCAATCTAAAGAGCAGCTCCTTCTACCACATCCTGCCTTTGATTTAAAAAATGATCTTTCTGGATTGCATTTGTGCATTGCTGTATTGATATACCCGATCAATCCTTGCCACTCAGATTCTCACTATAATTAAGACCCTCAAAAGAAAGCTGAATGAATAAAGAATCCCAATGGCAAAACACTTAGATATTCTAGCAAAAAACACAATATAAGAAATTATAAAACTAACCTGTGATGTGGCTGGACAAGAAAATGCTTCAGAACATCACTGAGTGAATGAATACTCATCTACTGAATTGAATGCTCCGTGAACCCACTTTCTTGCCACCTTCAAATATTTGGAGTTAAGAGCCCTCTTGGTAGTATTTCATGCAAAGACAAGTGTAGACATCACAGTGAAGAACATGAAACTAATTAGTTGACTTGGTCTCTGTAACTCTAGACAGAATAGCTAATAATTAGCTAATAGCTAATAATAAGTCTAAGAATAGCTTATACTCAGAAACAGTGACTGAAGAGGTTGGACTGGACTGATCAGAAGGTTCCCCCTCAGTTGTCATCACTTAGAATTGCCATAGGCAGCAAGAGGTTCATCCTCCCCATCACTGCCTGCTGTGGACAGAGGAGCTGTGTGTCACCCCACACTTTTTAAGCATGCAGCAACTGAGACCCATTTTGGCCTTGATGTGCAATCCAGTAACAGGTTAAACAAAACACTGAGCAGTAACCCCAGAATATGCCCCAGCATCTGCCACTGCAGAGCATCAGAATGGAAATTCCTGGTCCATCCTCATGAGACCATTATTCCATTAGATGGGCTTGTTTGTTTAACCTCTTTTTATTCTCCAACTAGCTTTGAGGTTGAACAACAGGCTCTGGAATGACTCCCCTAGGGACAATGGCTGACCCTCACAATCTGACAACCATCTGCTGAAACTAAATTTAGGGAAAATATGTCCTGCCTGGCAAAGAACCACACAGAATTTAAGCAATTCAAACCAAACTGAAAAAGTGGCCAAGGAGCCATTGCATTACCTTGGTTTTATAGCAAGGACTTTGCAATACAGCATCATAGCTGTAATAAAAATTACATAGCTGATTCCTTATGTGGGAAATGTAAAACAAAGCAATAGTATTTCCAGATTTTTAATTTTTATTTTTTTTCCTGAAGCAGAACACCATGGGGTTTTTTTCCTTTCAGTTCATTTTAAATGGATGTTATTATACATAGTCAAGTCCTGGCCACCATAACTAGACCCAAAGGAATTGAGGAAGATCATTGAGTGGAGTGGCAAGACAGAAGGTCATCAAACCAGAGCTATATTACTCTCCCGTGACATCTGATGGAGCCATGACAGCAGTCTGGATGCTAGATAACATGAATATTCATCTTTATGATTTACAAGTTACATTGTGACTTTGAAGTAACACTTCTAATGTGCCCTTGTGGTACTTTAGTAACATTGTGGGGAATGAGTAATGACAGAACTCTGACATGAAGTATTACCCACAACAACATTATTGTTATTGTTATTATTATTATTATTATTGTTGTTGTTGTTGTTATCATTATTATTATTATTACCATTATTATCATTATCTCTTATTTTGAATCAGCCCCTGCAGTTGGAAGAAGATGTAAGCAACAGGCCTGAATAGTAAAGGGACACATTAGCAGATATGTAAAAGAAGTCAATAGCATGCTGTTACCTCAAAGCATTTTCCCAAAGAAGCTGTGACCTGCATGTCACATTGCAGCTCTGATAACAAAATCAGTGGTTTCTACAATGAAAACATTTACGCCAGGAAGTTTCCCTCCTCTGGAGGAGTCTCGTTTCAATATTGAGGCAGATGGGAGCAAAATAAGAACTGTCTTGAGTTTCAAGTTTCTTAGAGAGAAAACTTACAGAGGCAGGTTGAGCTGGCAGAGGTGCTTCCTGGCCACTCCTGCAGGTCTAGTGATCCATTAGAATACCTGTTTGGCATGGAATTTTTCCTTGAATAAATAGCACACCTATAAAAATTAAGACTCACAGTGTGTCTGTCAAATTTGGATACTTTCTATATGGAGTTCAGAACCTTCTATGAAAAAAAAAGGGCTGTCAAGGGAGATCTGCTCGTCTTCTTGCTTCAAAGTAAGAAAAACAAAACCCCACTCTCTTCAGCATCTCCCAGCCCCTGACAGAGAGCTATCGAAGAGTCACATTAATACAATGAGCTGTAGACCTGATATTTTAGTTCCCTGGGCCTATTCACATGACTGGGAGACGTTCTGAATTCCTACAACCTTTCTTTTGGCCTTACGCTAATTAACAGAAGCACTTGAGCAAAGCGCTCCGGGGCAAAACACGGACTGCTTTGGTGAGGAGCCACGGAGAGATTGAAAACATCCCTCCGGGCACTTCCTCCACACACTACACTTTCCTTTCCCCGTAGCTTTTCGGCTGATTGGCTTCCCCTCCCCACCCGTTCCCTGCTCTCTCCCATCAGTGGGTGTCCTGTTCCCGCGGGCGCTGGGGCGCTGGAGCCGAGGGACTGCCGGCATCGGGACGGGCAAAAGCTCTGGCCCGTACGGGGATCGAACCCGCGACCTTGGCGTTATTAGCACCACGCTCTAACCAACTGAGCTAACCGGCCCGCCCGCGTGTTTACCCACGGGCAGCGGCTCCAGCCCGTGCGGGAGCGGAGCTGCTGCCGCCACTGCCCCGGCTACCGCGGGGCCAGCGCCGCTTCCCCGGCGCTGCCTGTGCTTGCCGAACCCTTCGTGCTCCTCACCCACGTACCCTGCGCTGTTCCCGGGGCAGGGACACCCACACGCACTTTCCCCAGCGGGAACAGGGAAGTGACAGCTCGCGGTGAAGCCCTGCAGGCTCCGTCTTTGGTTTTCCGGGCCTGTGGGCCCAGCCCGGCCGCCTCCAGGCCTGCCCTCACGGCAACGCTGTCCCGAGCGCGGGGCTTGGGCCAAGCGCTCCCGGGGCCCTTCCCGCCCGGGATATCCCGCGGCGGAGCGAAACTCGGCACAGCCTCCGGCAGGGTTGAGGATAAGAGCAGCCGCACAGGATGTCCCCAGCATGAACCCGGGAGCAGGCACAGCTGGCCAACACTCCTGAAATTCACCTGGCAGGAGAGCTGAATGAGACAGAGCCTGAAAGCACTTACCTCCCGTGAAGTAGCATAGGGAAGAGTTACTCACAATCTCTTTTTAAGCCCTATTTTGTCTTCCACAGCCAAAGATTTCAGTTTTACCATGTTCATTTTCCTGGCTTAGACTTATAATAAACCCAAGCTTTTCAAATGCTTGGTCTTCTTGGCAGAACTCATTATAGAGGAAAAAAACATGGCATATCTGTATCTCAGCCTGGGACGAGACTGACTAGGGATCACTGGGATGACAGCACACTGATTTTTCTAGTCCACACTCATCTTTGTGGTCAGTGCTCCCACTCCTAGCTCTTTTTAACTCATTTACACTGTCAGTTCCCCTTTATTGCTGTTAGCCCATCTGCTTGCCAGCACTTTCCTCAAACACTCATCAAATTCCCCAAACCTCGTTTTGCCAAACTTCTTCATAAAGTCCTTCATCCCTAGGAGCAAACTGATCAAATCAATTGCAAACTCCAAACTGTCATTTCTACTTCCCCTCTTCTATTTGATGTCCATGAAGTAGCAACCAGCCAACTGCCAGGAAGCACATATGCTCTGGGATCTTGATAACCAGCTATATTTTCTGGGAAATGTCATCCTGTGTGAGGCTAAACTCACTCAAATATTTAAAAGCAAGGTCACGTCTGGAACTTTAGAATAAAGATGACAAGTGAAGGGGCAGAATGAAAACACAATCACAGAATTTCCTGAGCTGGAAGAGACCCACAAAGATCACTGAAGTCCAACTCCTTTGGACATTCTCCCAAACAATCCACAGCATGGGTCTGTGTAGGGAATCTGGGTACTCTCCAGACTGATAGAGCAATCAGGAACAGCAAACCTTTTTTTTATGCATCTGTCACAGGGACTCTCAAATGGATTCTCACTTTGGTTTCAGGTAAGAAACTGTTAGCTAATTATTTTTTTGGTTAGTTGCTCCACAGACAGCAAGATAGCAGAGGTGAGGATTAATTGTCTTTCTTGACTTTCTGACCAGAATATCAGCAGAAGTAGCTCAAGGCAGTAGCATATTGCCTGATTCATAGCTGTGCACCATTGTTTTTGAATCAAATCAGGTCCAATTATGCAATAAAAAAAAAGTAATGCCCTTTGGCTCTTTCCTTCCTCTATCTCCTAGTTAGGCTAAGCAGACTTGTCTTTTTCGACGAAGTTTAATCAGCAAGATGCCAAACGCAAACCCCTGTTGTTCCAAACCCTCTTCTACACACAGAAATAATATCCTGCCTTTTTAAAAGACACTCAGTCGGGGCCTGCTGTACAAGCAACAGATTTTCTGTGATTAGACAGTGAGAGATAACATAACAGTCCAGGAGATCAATGCTGCCCCCAAGAAAATAAAATTTTCTAATTGAACAGTAAACTCTGCTTTCTCTCCAGGGTGTGGGATCCATACTCAAGCAAAGAAAGAAACCAGCTTAGAATGAGAAACACTTATCAGGCTATATACTGGGTATCTGTGCTGTTATGGAATTTAGAGGTTGTACAAACAAAGCGTTTGCAAATATTTTCCAGCACTGTTGGTGTTAGAGAATTGTGCTCACAAGTGCTTTATCAAACAGAACCTGAGCTGTAAGGGTTTTGTTAATGCAGCACCTCAGCTGGACACCTCAACAACTTCAAACTTTTAAAGCACATTTAGAAGATCTGTGATAATGTTCCCCTTGTAACTTTAACCGTTATAGAGAGCATTTTCAAAACTCCAAAGGGTCTATATTTAAAAAGGGCACAAACAGCAGGACACTGAAGAACAAAGGTGGTCCAGGTGCTTGAGCTCTGTCTGAGCTCTCTTTAGTTACCAGTTTCCTCTCAACCACAAGTCACCCAGCACCACTGTCCCTGAGCTCTCCTGCTCCCTTCCATCCCTGGCACATGGCTGGCATTGGCAGCCAGCAGTGCCCTTCAGTGAGAGCAGTCCCAGATCGTACTCCCTGCTGTCTCCCAGGACAGTACAGCCTGCACCCCCTGTACTTTTTGCTGGAATCCCAACAGCTGGGCCCCAGTCTGTCTGCAGAGGAAAAGGATGCTTTCCTCAGACTCAGTGCAGCTCAAGATTACAAAGATGCTTCAGCCTCTGTACCTATTTTCTTCTCACAGGCAACACATTGCCAAATAATGTGAGCTTCACACCCCCACTACGCTGCAGCCTGTGTTTCACATCACATGCTGCCACAGGCCCTGCCATCGTGAACCCTGCCTGTGAATGAAAGCAAGGCCATCTTCCAGAAGATATTTAGAGAGAAAGTAAAACACAGCATACTCATGAGTTTCTCCCTGCCTGTGTCCCTCCCCAAGTGCCTGTGCTGCAGGGCACATTAGGATCTTATTTCTCACAGACCAGTAAGGCATCTTTCAATGTGATCTTTGGTCACTGCTCACTTCCCAACCCACAATGGATCTGAACCAGCAATTTATCAACAAAATGTAGCTTTAGGCATTCTGCAGCCATGTGCTATTTGTTCCAATCTGTCATCAATTCAGAGTTGACAACTAGGGGGAGAAAAATAAAATTATTTGCTGCCCAAATCAAAGGGTAGAGGGAACTAATGTTATCAGTCTGAACACTATGCAAGGATTTATTAATAAACTTGCCATTGAAATTTCACTCATAAACATGCTAATGTAAGTTATTTGCATATGTCTGTGCATCAAAACAAAATAAAGATCCATAATATTATATCTAATAACATTATTACCCTGATCATAAAGTAAACATTTGGTGGTCATAAAGTGTGTGTTGAAGTTTTGAATACTATATTTATAGACTTTTTAATAACAGCTACTGTAAGTTTTTAATAAAACAGTCAAGAGGTCTGTTCTTATCTAGCCATTATCAGTGTTCAGAACTAGAAACCTGCAGATTGAAAAATCACATTTAGAAACATGGCATTATATCCAGTAAAACCACCACAGTACATTCTTGTTACAGCAACAGCAACAATGTCATGCTTTGAACAGAAAACCCAAACTTAGTTTTGGCTTCTCTGCACTGGCCAGCAATGAGTGAAGAAAACTCCAGTCTCAGGAAGAAAAACCCCTTCACTTCAGCCACCTAAAATGAACCACCAAATATGAGCATTGGTCTTGCAATGTCTGCACACCATCACTATGTGTATTTAAGGCCAAATTTACCACAAAGCATGGAATAGTTTGGATTTGAAGGGAACTTAAATGTTATCTAGTTACAAGTCCCTCTGCCACAGGCAGGGAACACCTTCCACTACACCAGAGCCCCATCTAACTTGGCCATGAATACTTCCAGGAGTGGGCATCCACAGCTTCCCTGTGTAGCCTGTTTTAGTGTGCCTCACCACCCTCATGGTACAGAGTTTCTCCTGTAATCTGACACAGCGGTAAGCTATCCAAAGGACACCAGAAATCCCACATTTCTCAGAAGATCTGGCATGTAGGAAGCACCCATGTCCAGTACATCCCCCTAGCAGACTACACCCCTAAAACAGTGTAGCTGTGCACATACAAGTGTATGTGCATACATACATATAAGTCACATATAAGTCCCCTCCCAGCAGCAGCACACTGGATTGAAACCCTGATAGTATGGTTTCAGTGCCCAGGCTGCTGGTAGAAGACACAACTCTGAAGATATTGCCTTGATATTTGGCTTGTTTACCTGTGTCACAGTTCCTGAATCTGGTTTATTCCCCTAGAAAATGTTTTGAGATGCTCTGCAATTCTCAGCCTCCAGCCAGGCATCAGTTTACCATTTGACATGCCACATTAAACCTACAACAAGCATTACAGGGGTCACCAGGATGAGTTATTATTAATACCGTCTCATTAGTAGTGCTGAAATTATTGGCAGCTTCTCCATTTTTCACTAGTGCCTGTTTGCTTTGTTCCTGCTATTGATGGGCAGAATGGATTAGACTACATAAGCTTTACATCCAGCTCAAGTGATTCTCTCTTGCAGACAGAAATAAGTTTGATTTTCCCTTTTTTACTCAGAAAAATATTCTAATTTTGAGCCTCATAAAACCATTTACATTTACAGTGTGAAGATGGAAGTTAATTATTGCTCCAGAGCAGTTAGAAACTTCGTTCTAGTATATCTGTTTTATAAAATATATCTGTTTTATAAAAAGGTCCATTTCCTGGTGGCTTTCTTTTAAAAAAAACCCCAACAGCTTATAATGGTAAAAAGACAGTATCATGTGATTTCACCAAAACCTGCTTGCAGGTGAGTATTCTTGACTTTTTAAGCAAAAACTGCAGAACTGCCTCACAATTTATTTTAATATGCTGAAGAAGCTGGTCAATGTAGTTCTTTCTCAAATATTCAGGGAGGTATGTTTTACAAGCTACTTATATTTTAATTAGAAACAGTCAGGAATACTCTGACCAAGTAACAGGGTATTTTTCCCTCCCCCACTCCCCACAAAAAAAGATAAGTTCAGACTTACTTTCTATGAAGTTGCTGAAATCACTTCCTTCTCCCTCTTTGGTTTTTACCCCTGCTTCCAGCTACAGAGCTTACGTGGAAAAGTGGTACACCAGAAAATGTATTTTGCATTAAAACAAAATCTGCCTTCTATTCAATGAGGTTTTACAAATGAAATATTTTTTCCTAATATTCCAGGCCTCTGTACATTTAGTCTGCATTGTGATACTAAGTGTCTTTATTATAATTCACAACATTTCCTTGTGAAAAGGCCACTTTCTGATCAGACAAGTGTCCATTAGCCTTCATTCAAAACCATTGCCATAGCGATAATTTTTTTATTAGACCTGTAAAACCTGCTGTTTCTAGCCCTCCTATTCCTTCAGTCCATGCAGGCATCCTCACTTCTGTTCTGTAACACACCCAGCGGTCATTAAATTTCCATTTGAAAAGAATTAAAAAAGACTATAATTTTTATGCGATTAAATTGGACCAATTATTTCTTGAAGCCACAAGCGTATAATTTCCTATAAGCACTGAAGAAAAATCAATATCCCAAGTTCATAAATTATTTATTACTCCATCAGGCTGCCATTTGTTAACATAACAGAAGGACACCATTCTGCATAACAGAAGGACACCATTCTGGACCTGTACAAGAGCTGCAGCTTTCATTCATATAGCTAAAAAAGATGCACACAAAAAAACCCCAGTAAACTTTAAGAACAGTCCAAATACCAGAAGTACTCCCAACTTCCTATGCCCCTGCTCCCTGAAGACAAATATTTCTCAACAAGAAATTCTGGGAAACAAAGTGTATATTAACAAAATGTTGCACATGGTTCATGTCTGAGGACAATTAATTATTTTGGTGGGCTTCTTGCTAATTTTGAAATGAGTTCCTACAATCTACAATTATTTGTTGGTTAGGTTTTGTTTTAAACCTAGAATCCTCAGTGTAGGTTTTCTTAGCTTCCATCACAGTCCACAGCATTGTCACTGCTCAACGCTCACGTGGCTCTTTCGATGCAACAGCAATGAGTTTCTGCAACCACCATATACATTAGCATCTATTTCCATTAAAGCAGAGGAAGAAGCAGCTGAAATATTCAGAAAAATCAGGGGCTCATGCAAGGCAAAGCACTCACTCTAACAGTTCACATCCTGATGGGCCATTGAACAGTTACATGTCTTGAAAAAAAGCATTTGAGGCCAGTTGGAGAAGAATCATGCTGACACTCATTATCCCAGGAGCACAGGAGTGTCATTACCCCAACAGCAGTACCTGGCTGTGAAAGCACAACTGGATCAAGATCTAGCAGGGTCAGCTCCCCTTTCTGTCCCCCAGACATAGATAAATTGAACACATAGTTTATTCTGTATACACTTTTGTGATGTGACCTTGGAACAAGAGTGCCTTTCTGGGTGGGTATGAAAGTTGCCATGTTGCGTTCCAAATAAAGGAGGGTTGGATCAGTGTT